CTCTCTCTCTCTCTCTCTCTCTCTCTCTCTCTCTCTCTCTCTCTCTCTCTCTCTCTCTCTCTCTCTCTCTGTGACACACACACACACACACACACGCGCACCACAGCCTTGCACACACCGCAGCCCACTCCGCTCACACCACCCTCGACCTCGTGCGCACCACAGCCGCTCCTCCGCACACAACGGCCAAGACCACGAACCACGCCTTCGCTGGCGCGCCCAGGGCCTCTGCTCATCGCAATTACAGCCTCCACAAATTTCCCCCACGACGCCTGGCCAGTTCCTTCCACGGCAGTGACAGCGGCCGGGCAATGGACCAGACCCGATGGCCGCAAGACGGTCGCCAGGCCTCCCCAGGCCATGCCTGTTCGTGCCGCCGACGGTTGCGATTTTTTTTTTTTTTTTTTCCCTGGCCTGGGCCTGCCACCAGAGGTCCCAAACCCGGAAACCGGGTCACGCGCCGGCGTCACGCGAGACCCGGCTTTTCCTTTAGTAGTATGTAGATGTAGATGTAGATAAATGTTGATGTAGAAAAAAAAATTGGACCATTTCTCAATTTATGCGTGTCATCCTTGCGCAGGGGCCATGGTAATCTTCTCTGTATCGTTCCAATTTCAACGGATGTCACGAAGGACAATCAGAAAACCTTCCTAATCAATGTGCCTGAACAAATTCCACAGTGCGTTCCTAATCCCCCGCGTTCTTCATCGACTTGAGATGGGCCCGAAACGTCAAAAAAAAACTTTCAGTGATGCAACAACACATGTAGCCACACATAGTGCCAAGTCAGACTCCATGATACGCCCGACTACACACTCGGATATAATACTCGAACACTGTCAAGACTATCCTCCACACACAGCCTGGATGCTCCTCACTGGTGTGCTGACCTGTAAGTAGTTTCCAATTTACGCATGTCATATCTGCCGGCAGCCAGTTCAATTTGCACTTTGTGGGAAAATTGACTGTCACGACTGTAAACTGGTGGTATGAACTTTTATACTGTCAAGTTACTCTGAACTCAAATTCTTCACTTCTACTCTTCTGCTCTTGCTTTGGACAGGGTTTCTTCACCTTGGGTTTCCTCTATGCTTTGCATTGAAATTGCAAGCGATAAGCAGATGCACATTATTCAAAGGGAGAATTATCCATGCCCAACAGTGCATGGATAATGTCCGAAGGGACTATGTGTTATGATAAGTGCACTGTACAGTGTGTACAGTCTGTCGCTTGGAAAAATTCACTGTACCTGAGTTACCAGTCGGCAGGCTGCCTCTGCCAGCGCAGCTGGCCTAGCTGGGCCAGGTTATGGGCAAGAGATTGGGTGGCCAAGCGCGACGTTCAGAATTGAAAAACTAACGAACACAAAAAACACTGGAGAATCACTGTGTTGAAACTCGAATGTAAATAGTGTTGTGTATGATCGCAAATCAAAGAACCTGTGGCTTAGGGTCACTATAAACTAGTATAAAGTCCATTTAATTGACAAAAACCAAATAATGGCACACGCGTTTAAGCCTTTAAGGCTGTTTAAAGCAGCACTCCCTTTCCCAGGTGTTTTGTTCTGACGTGCCGGTTAACCTGCCACAAAATTGCAGGTTGGGCCTACTGGATGGAAAAGGCTGGTGCGCCAGGCAAATCACTAACCACGCTAGTTCGGCAAGAGTAAGCATGCAGTGAAAATCCACAGCGGGAAAGAGAGGCTCGGAGGGACTAGCGGTTTGAACCTCGTACTCGTACGTGTACTTGGGTATTTTATTTTCTGAGTGGGGATCCGGGCCACCCGGGTGACCGACAGGGGCCCGGGGGAGGTCCCGCGCGGCCTGGCCGGGCAGGGCATCCGGTTGGGGGCCAGGCCCCCCCAGCGCACTCACCTGTCGGGGGATTTCGGACCCCCTTT